TCTCAATAATATGCATGTAATTTCTGGTAGTAGGTTGGGTCCTTGAATAAAGAGCTGATTGCAGGAATAGCAATTCTTGTCACTGGCATTTCCTGCCATGACCACATGCAAAGGTGTTGATGCACTTTCAGGGCATGCCACCCCATGGTGTGGTAGCTCTGTATAGGCTGTTCCATGGTTATTCATTTCTGCCAGAGTTGTGGATGCAATAACTCCATCCTTAATCCATTGAGCAAAGAGATCTTTGTATGCATCAGCAAGTTTACTGCCTTTCTCCAAGAGGCGTATAACTGATTTGCTTCAGATTGTGGCCATGTTTGAATTTGGTTGGCAATGTTTTGGATATAGATAGGATTTAAGGAGGGGAGCAACTACTAGCCCTTCCTTACTGATTGTAATTAATTGCAAATATTGTTTGTATTGATCCGTTTCATACGGAGTTTCCTCATTGGCTTCTCCCAGGATATTGATTTGATCCTGTTTGAGAAAGTCAATTGTTAGGTTGGTGAGTTCCTCATCTTGATATTTGGTAGGTTGTCCAAAGACCACATGAGAAGATGGTCTTCCTGTTAAAGGTTGATGAGGACTGTCCCAATGTCCCCGTGCAACCAATCCAAATTCTGATGGCACAACACTAAATGTGGAGTGGGACCAGTATGGATCTTGGTTGTGTTTGTATACTGATACCAGGTCTTTGCCCCCCAGCACAATTTTGAAGGTTATTCGTGTGCTTGTTAGGAGGCATGGATCAGCTAATGAATGTTTGAAATCCTTTAGTTGGGAAAGGGTATGAGGGTTGGTAGCCCCCCAGGATTCCTGCAATGGTACAACGACTGCAATTGTTTCCATGTTGAATGTTGTTTTGTTCCTATTTTGTAGATGCAGCGTTGCCAATGTTGTGGATTGTAATCGAGCATTTCCAATGCCCGCAATCGTATGAGCTGTGGATGTTTGGACAGTAGGTAACTGGAGGCGATCAACAAGGGCCTGTGTCACCAGAGTTAATTGCGACCCTGTATCAAGTAATACATGGACCTTGGTGTTTTTTGGTTGTAATTTAACAGTTGCTGTTTCCAGAAGAGAGTATGCAACCGAACTGGTTATCGCATTCACCCTCACTAGCCACGCCAGGTTTGCGACGACTGCTGGTGCTGCGACTGCCGGTGCCGGCAACACCAATACCGGTGGCAGTAGTGGTAGACGATCTGATATGGCCTGTAGGATTGCTGCAAAGTTTCTAGGGTTCTTGTTAGGCGATCAATCGAGTTGTTGAGCGCCATTGTTGCAAGAGCTACCGGAGTTGCAGTTGCGACCATTCTGGTTGCTGTTGTTATGTGAATTGTTGTTGTTTCTGCCATTGTTTTGTCCATTGTTGTTTTGGTTTTGGTTGTTTCCGAAATTGTTTGCATTTCTGTTGTTATTAGACTGGGATGAGCTCCAAAATGACTCGTTGTTCCGAAAACAAGTACCCTGGTATCCCGTATTGCTCTGAGATCCATTATTGTTTTGAGATCGATTGCTTCCTTGATATCAGGTATTGTTCTGGTTATCATTGTTCTGTGCGCCATTGCTTTGCTGTTTGTAACATAGGGAAGAATGATGTGGTTTATCGCAAGTTTGACATCTTCTGTTGCTACCACATGTAGGAATGGTGTGATTAGATGCAAGGCAATTGTAGCACAATTGTTTCTTCCGGACTACTTGAATTTGGTCCGGGATGCTTAATTTGCAATGAAAGGTGTTGTGTCCTTGTTGACAAAATGGACATTTCCATTTGAGTTTGGGATTGGAGCTTGAGCCCGAGCCTTTATAACTTGAACTTTTCTGAGATCCTTTTGGGGAATGGTTTTCCCTGTCCGATTTTTCAGGCGTAGATGAACACCTTTGATCTTTCTCGGATTTCTTGTCTCTTTTTGAGCGACGATCAGATTTTTTGGAGTCATTACAACCCAACCTGTGAGGGCTTTTGGATGCCTCCCGCTTTCGCTTTCTTGAGGTGGAATCTTTTTCAGTAGCCTCTGAGTCAGATTTCTTGTCAGACTCTTTTTCTTTGACCTGTTTGGAAATTGTTCCACTGAGGAATGTAAGTGCTGTAGGCAAAACTTCATCCTCTGGTGCTTCTGATCATATAAATTTGCAGATCCATCTGTAGCGGTTGGCTGGGGTACTTTTACCACGTTGCGGATTCTGATGCGCGATGTGGAGGATTTAATTCCAACTCATGTAAAACGCTGTTAAGAAGTCCACTTTTTTGCAGGTGTATCTTGATTGTAGGCCACAATCTGATGTGTACCTGTGGCATATTTGATCATAAATTGTGGAGTTGGGTGGTGACAGCTACCACCTTCTCCATGTACTTTGCCATGTCATTGGCTGATGTCCCGTCTGGTTTTAATTTTTCAAACATTTTATAAATACACTGACGTGTTGCTTGTATATTCCCGTATTCTTCAATAAGAATTTTCAAAATCCGGCAGTAATCGGATTCCTCGGTTTTGTCCGGTTGCCTGTCAACGAGATTATTTGCCTTACCGTCCAAATAAAGGAGCAGCAGGCCAATTCTTTGTGACAGCGTAACAAATTTTGAGGGAATAATGTGAATTTTGTAAAAGTTTGACCAAAACTGGTCAAAGGTGTATTCCTCCTCAGGATTTCCGCTGAAGCGTTTGAAAGAGGGGAGCACCGTTTTCTTCTCCAGATCACGCACAAACAATGAACTTGGTTGTGGCTTATTTGTTGCCGATGTGTACGTGTGCAACGCAGCCAAGTATGGATCCATTTTGTCGTCAATCTCCAACAGTCTATGTGACTGTGTTCGAAATTTTTGATACGGGACAATAAGTTCCCGTTGCCTGCTGGTTGAGTATTGAGATGGTGCGTCCTTTTCCTCAGGTGTAAATACACCGGGGACAATTTCCACGCTCGGTGGGACCAAGAACTGCACGCCAAGAATACACGCCTGTTTGGGGTGTAATTCCAGCCAATTTGTCTGTAATTGTTTGGGTGTTTGGATAATAATGGCGTTTAGTTCATTGCACAATTGTGAGATTTGCGTTTGCTCCTTATCCTCGAAATGATGTTGTTTCAAGGAAATAAAATAGATGGACGCCGTCATAAACACCTGATGTTTCTGAACAAATGTTTGGAACGTATCCCCACTAAGGTGCTGTTTGAAAGCCTTGTCACACAAGTATATTGCGTGTGCAAGGGTTACGACCTGTTGAATTGTAGGATTTGGGTCAAAATGGGTTAACGTACTTGTTGTAGAGTTGCCCATCACTGAAGGCGGTGGTGACGGGTTGGGGAGCGGTACGACAGGTTGCCGCGGCAGTCTGCCGGGTCGTTGGATGCTCCATGGTGCTGTTTCTGAATGTGAGTCTGGCACATTTGCTGTATTCTTGGGGGGTGGTAAAACGTCACCCCCTTGCAGGGTTGTTGATGGGATTGCACCAATTATTCCACTGTGTAAAACACTAGGGAGGTCACCATAGCGGGATGGAGGCTTGCTTGTCTGCATACGAGTGAAAGAAGCACTGGCGGGTACAGCTGATTTTCCGCGAGGCATCGTAATGTTTTTAGGTGCACTTCACACTTTTCAAATTGTTTTGTTGGAGAATTGTTTTGAAAAATGTTTTAAATTGAGAATTGTTTGGATATTTTCACCAAGGATTGTTTGTCAAGATTTTTCCAAGACTTTTGCACAGTCCTGAACTCTGATCTTTTTGTTTGTATCTACTTTTTACTGGCCACCACTTTTGTCAGGGGCTATTGAGCCTCTCAGACAAAGATTTGATATTCACTTATGGTCAGTGAAAGAAAGGTATAAACACAATCAGCCGTTTGCGGCCTGAGGTCAATACCTCAACTTCAAGTTGATGGGATATTCAGCAAATGTCCAAAGTTCATTAATTCAGCACACACAATTTTAGCTCCTTCTTCAGTCAAGTCTGGATTGATTCTGGCTGCTCCTGAAGGTGGTTATGAAGTGGTACTGGTCCTCATTAGTGGAAAGTTTATTCAAGGCTTTCCACTGATGTGTATCTGACACTTCAGCACACAAAATTCCTCATCATTCTTTTGATCACCAGTGCTGATTCACCAGTTGAATATGCCCTGGAGATCAATATATCCAAGGCTGGTTTTCCTTGGAATCTTGTTTTTATGTTTGTTTAGAATATATATTTCATAACTGTCTTTATATAATCATCTTCTAGAAGAAGATGGATTTCCTTTTCTCAAATATTATGACAACGTGGCGTTTCGTACGCCGCGTCAAATTTTTCTTCTCCTGTTTGTACTCCTGACTCGGGCGACATCTAGTTGTCCCAAGAAAAGCGGCGTGTCAGCAGGCGACATCTGTTCGACCCGTGACAATGAAAACCAGCTCAAGTCAAAGTTTATGAATTTTCTGATCTATCCTGTCTCAATGAATCTATCATACCACTATAAATACTTTTAAAACATACACTGATGGGATGATGTACCATGGAACGTCCATTATCTGGACAAATCAGCATACGCAAATTACCAGATAATAAGAATCCATGCAGATAAGCAAAAGTATTGATTGTAGTTGACAAGTTAGGTTATGTAGACAATATTTATTCTACTATGGCTCATGGCAGGTTTTAAACAAAATCAATGAAGAGTAGGGATAAATATGAGAGCCCACATGACCTTTGAGAAATGTATGAATAAAATCCATGACACTATTAAAACTCTAGGTAATAATTCGTGCTACAATTTTCCTCGGTTCCAAAATTCTGAGAAAGAGTGTTGAAAGATCAACTGAGTGTTAAAACCAATTAACAGGTTTTTAAATCATGGATACAACTCTGGATGTGTGGTCAGCCTCTTGAGAAATAAGTACAAAAACTTCAGAAACAGGCCACAGGCTTTCTACTTGCAATCTTGTAGTCTTTTTATGTAAATGTTTGTGTACGTTTTTTCGAATGATTGCCCTATATTGGGCAGATATTCTAAATTATACTGAATGTCTCTCACTTTTTTACAGCCAGGACAAAAGTCTTCATGTCAACAAATATATCGTCGTCAAACTTCCCGATCACTTCCACGTTTCGGCAATTTTGAAGAGCCCATTGATACCCTGACAAAACCTTGTAGGTCAAGTTCTTGTAGGCATCAATGTGGTCCAAGATATGTATCATGTCTTCATATTTGATTGATTCCTCAAAAATCTTCTTCGAATCTTCGGTAGAATTTGTCTTTCCGACCAGAAAAGCAAGTTGTACTTCAGGAAAAATTGGGTTCATGACCGAATTGTTGCCCCAAGTTGTCCGGATGTTTGTTCGTTTCTCAAAGTTTCCCGGAGCGGAAATGATGAGAATCATGATTTTCGTGCTGTCTTTGCACAAAAAGCCATCCTATTTGACGAAAAAAAAACACAAAAACGTCGAAGAAATATTTGAGAAAATGTCAAGATATTTCATGAACTGGGTTGCGTCGAAATATTAGCAATGTTTCGTGACATTAAATCCCTTCCTAATTAAAAAAAAAACAATGCAATGCCTTGTCAACCGAGATTTTCCTGAAAACCGAATTTTACTGTACCCCATTCCTGTGTGAGACAAAAAAGCCATGCCTCAAATCTTGAATTTTCCCGGAATTTGCAAGTCCAATCGAATCGCAGAGCATTGGCAAAAAATTTCCAAGCAACCTTCTCATCCATGATTTTATGAAAAAGGAAAACGAAAGGGATTTTTCTGATAAAAAAAATGAAAAATTTCATTACTTACTGATGAATTCCGCAGAGTGGTTGTCATGGTCACTCGAGTATCAGTGACGCAAAATTGTTGCACGTGTCTTCCACAGGTCAAGTGGTCATTTTTAGACGATCCTTCGCAGATTTCTCTTTTCAGAATGTCCCTACCAGCGACTGACTTCATCAATGAAAGTGGCGGCCATGGAACACTGGCCAAATCCAGGGTTTTGTTCTTTAATGATTCCTTCAATTCCTGTATGGGAAGCTTCCACGGACATCAACGTTGCTTCGCACCATGCATAGTTTCTGCATTCGACCAGATTCGTATTTTCTGTAACCCAGTGGTCTGGTTTCAGAACCCTGAAGAACCCTGTGTATTGGAAAAGGCCACTTGCGCCGAAGGCAGCCAATGCCACAATGATCAAGCACCGTTTTTGCGAATCAATCCGCCGCGAAAAGCGAAAGCAGAGCACACGTGTGAACATGCCAATCACAATAATTTGAAAACCTGTTCTGTTCTAAATTAAAGATCTAAATGATACGGAGAGAAAATGAGGTAACGAATCAGGGATTCTGAATTGCGGAAACTTGCTTTGTGAAAAACTTCGCTTATCTTTTTCGGTGAGATTACACAGTCAGAGGATTCTGATGCTTCATGCTTTATGTATAAAAAAAATGATATCAACGAATATTTCAGGGCTGGCATAGATAAAAAAAGGAATGTCCACAAAATTTCTGATTGCTTCGAAGAGATTTAACGATGTTGTAATCAGAAAATCCTCGCTGTTTGCTGCTGCATGGTGCTGTATAGAAAAACATCGTTTAGAATTGACAGACTGAAACTGAATGCTCAATACTTCAGATAATTTTAACGGTTTATTTCCAGTTTCCAAAAAAAATCTTGAAATAGCTTCGTGAATAACATTGTGGAAACGAATTGACAAAATCTTTCTTTCTCTGCTTGCCCTTTATATTGATGGCCCTTCCCTTTATTGCTTATCTTTGCAAGATAAGCACATGATTTTTTTTTTTTAATAAAATTATATGTTTTGTGAGGTATTCATCGCCCATAGTTTATGTACGCATCCATTGGAGTCTTCGGATTGTATCCGGTCAAATTTGTCCGAATTCATTTCTGCAAGCAAACTTTTTTGCAGTCTTTAAAAAAATAGTTCAGAGTCCTGAAATTATAATCTTTTTATTACCACGTTTTTATGAACTCACTTTCTTGTCTGTCTGTTTGTCTGGATCAAATTTTGAAACTCAAATTTCACTCACTTCCAGACTAGCTAGCAATAAGCTGAAACTTTCAGGATAGCCTAGAAACTGATGACAATGCAATCTTTTGTGAAAAAATTAATTTTAAGAATATTTTTTAAAAAGAATAAAATAATTATAGTAGATTAAAAAATTAATCTAAAAAACCATGTTTTCAAAAAGCAAAAAATAACCTTAAACGTGGTGCGCATGGAGATTGTTGAGAAGAAGTGAAATACAAATGAAATAGATGCACACCACGTTTAAGGTTATTTTTTGCTTTTTGAAAATGTGGTTTTTTAGATTAATTTTTTAATCTAC